ACCTCCTCTGAACAAATCATGCCAAGAAAACCCCAGGATAGGTTCACCTTAGCATCACCATAAGTTGGAAATGGCTTGAAGGCATACAACACACACTCCTGGAGTCCTACCTAGTCCAATGCTCAAACCACTGTACTATGCCAAATCTCCCATAGGGAAACTTCTGGGTGTGTAAAAGAAAACATCAACATGATGCTAGTTAACATTAAAAACTATGCAAAGGGATCTTGTAGCACCTTTGAGACTAACTGAAAGAAAACAGCAAGTGGGTGGTAGCATGAGCTTTTGTAGACTTGAGATTTCTTCTTCAGATGGAAGACTTGAACTTACTTTCCCCTTTCTTTCAGTTAGGGGGGAAGCAGACGGGCGTCCCTGGGCCGCCCCGGGAAGCTGCGCCACGGGGCCGAGGTATCCGCACACCTCAGCCCTGCGGCGCAGCTTTGCCGCCCCTGGAAGGAGCACTAAAATAGCGCTCCTTCCACAAGTCGCCGAAGGTGTGCTGCAAAAGGCTGGCGGCGCACCTTCGGTGACTTTTCCGCTGCAGCGTGTGCAGAGGCTGCGGCGGGAAGGCATCATTGGAGCCCCGGCCGTGCGGACGCTGCGGCGCTCCGATGATGCCTTCCGGAAGGGGTTGGGGCGCCCACCGTGCGGCTGTCTCTCCCCTTCCTTGCCCCCAAAATGGCCCTTTGTGCCGTCTGTGTCCCCCCTTAGTCTCAAAGGTGCTATAAGATCCCTTTGCATACCAATTTTCCAGACTGGGCCTTTGCAGACTGCCAGAAATAGTGCAAATTGAGTCCACTTTAAGGGTTAAGGTTAGGGTTAGGGAATCATGGGAACTGTATTTTATTGTGGCACCAGAGCTCTCTGACAGAGAAGGCTCAATGTCTCAGAAAAAAAAAACCCAATTCCCATGATTCCCCAGCACTAACCCTAACCCTAAAAGTGGACTCAATTTGCACTATTTCTGGCAGTCTGCAAAGGCCCTAACATAGTTGGGTCTTTGAGCATTAAAAAAGTGGGCCTTGAGATAGAAAAACAGACATGGGACACTTGGACATCTCAGGCATTGGTCAGTCAGCCCTCATTCCACAAGGCAATCAGAATTGCAATGGAGACGTAACTTGGAGAAAAGAATCAATTTCATTTCCCTAAGAACATGGCATGGTGCATCCAAAGTATTACTAGCAAAATGGATGATATCATTCTAGGCTTTTTCCTCCCAAGACCGTCTGTCTAAAAAAAATGGGGGAAAAGAAAGAAAGAAAAGTAATCTTGGTCTCAAGAAAAGCCAGCATGAATTTTACTGTTTCTTTAATTATAATTCCCAGAAGTTGAAAGCCTCCGTGGGTTTTTTTTTTATGAATATGAAGAGCTTACCACCGTCGTCACCTGCTGTTTTAATAATTTTATTAGAAAGCCACTGTGCAAGGAAGACAATGGGATGCTGTATTACCGAATTGCTGTACACATAAAGAGAACCATCTAGATCTGAGCCAAAACTGCTTACCTCATTTCATATTCATTTTCATGGTGGTTGAAGAAAAAAAAATGCCTCCCGTTTTCAACTATTTTTGGCACTTGCTGTGAAAGTATTTTGTGTTGTTTTGATCCCCTACTGCTCCACACCATCCCTCCTTTTCCATCTTTGCCTGGATTCGGTGCTGCATGATCCTCTTGCATTGCTATGGCTACTGCTTTGGACACTATTTCTATTCTTATTCTTTGCCCTTATTATTCTTGGCCTCATTTGCCCTTGCTGACCTTCACCTTGTTCAACTGCATCGGTTGCATCCAAACGTTTGATTGTCGAGGATGGTGCGTCGTACTTGCATAGCGGCAATTGACACTCATGGTTCTGCTAGGCTGCCCTTCTGCTGAATACTGACATTGTAAAAGTGATGGTTTACCTGCCAATTTACCTGGTGATTGTCCCCTTGTGCGACGGGGAATGCACAATGGCTTTGTCGGCAATTTCAGCTAATGAGATGGTACAGTGATGTCTCCGACAAATAGTTATGCACAAATATACAACGATGTGGGAAATATCAGTATGCAAAGGGAGCTTGTAGCACCTTTGAGACTAACTAAGGACCTTATTGCATTACTGGAAAAAAAAATGGACTTACCCCTGCTGTTTTGAACTCTATTTTGGGATTCAGCCAGGTATTATTGCACCAAAAATGCCACCTTTGCCTCTGCCCAGCTACATCCTGGTTACATCCCAGCTCCTAGCCATGATCAGCCAACCTCTTTTCAAAACCGGGAGGCTCCTGGCTTTGCAAATCGGCCAACTGGGAGCTGGGATTTAGCCGGGATGCAGCTAGGCGGTGGCATTTTGGGTGCAATAATTCCCAGCTGCATCCCAAAATAGAGTTCAAAACGGCAAGGGTAAGTCGGTATTTTTCAGTAATGCGATAAGGTCCTAAGGGAAAGAAGTTGTAGCTTTAGTAGATTTGGTCTGCTTCCAGGTCTCTGAAAACCTTAGGCTACAACTTCTTTTCTGTAGCTCCATCCTATGGGATCCTGGGCTTTGTAGTTTTGCAAGGTCTTTAGCCTTTTCTGCCAAAAGGTTCAGGTACTGCATTGTTGTCGTTGTCTGCCTTCAAGTCATTTCTGACTTATGGCAACCTGTCAGGGATGCTTTGATTGGGAGTTCCTGCATGGCAGGGGGTTGGACTGGATGGCCCTTGTGGTCTCTTCCAACTCTAGGATTCTATGATTCTATGAAGGACCTTCTTGGCAAGTTTCGTCAGTGAGGGTTTGCCATTCATTTCAGAAAATGCTTAAACTAATCTGAGAAGTAGGAATCAAAAGGCAAAAAGGGCAGGGTGACCAGATGTCCTCCTTTTCCAGGACATAATTTCCCTTTCCACCTTCTGTCCAGGAGGAATTCCAAAATATCCTCCATTTTGAGCATGACTTAGAGGCTCATTGAGTATCACCATGTTTGCTGTTCCTTTTCAAGAAATTCATCTACTTGGCAGCCTGTCCTTGCTGCAAATCGAAAAATAGGTTGGATCTTTCTAAAGTTCTTTTTTTTTCTAGAATCAACAGCAAACAGGACTCGCACCCAGAGCTCAGGGCTCTCGAAGCAAATGTTTTCGGCAATGGACTCCTTGAGGAGACAATGCAAAGGTTGAAAGCACAATGGACAAATGAAAGGAATAAGTGAAATGTAGATTTCAGTCAAGGGTTTGTTGCCAGTCAAGTACAATCTTAAGCATTTGTTTTGCTCAGAGTTCTATAAATATCTTGCAAGCCAACAGGGCATTTTAACAAAGGTAAGTTCATCAGAAGAAAAAAACACACAATTGTGTCCATAATAAAATACAGTATAGGACGTATAGCTGAAAATAAACTTTATGAAAGGAATTTGTATTTATATGATTGTTTTACGTGGTAAGGTCTTATACCCAGCACCTAATGGGCAGACTTTCCAAAATTGCTGTTCCTCATTTAACAAAACCTTTGAGAAAGAAGCTACTTTTCACACCTCCTTTCCTCCTCATCCTCTGTCTAGTTGGAAGGTGTTTTTCTTATAGCAGCATTGGCATTGGGAGAATGGTGAAGGAGGGCTGGAGAAACACAGAGGCCAAAAACACACTGCAGAAATAATCCAGTTTGAGACTGCTTTAACAGCCTTGGCTGAATGCTAGGGAATCCTGGGGACTATAGCTTTGTGGTACTTTTAGCCTTCTCTGTCAGAGAGCTCTGGTGCCAAAATAAACTACCATACAATTCCCAGGATTCCTTGCCACTGAGCCAGGGCAGTTAAAGCGGTCTGAAACTGGATTATTTCTGCAGTGTGCTTTGGACCAGACTTTCACAACCAGGGTGCAACAGAGCGTTATTGCATTCTTATCTGCACTAAATAGTGCAACAAAGCTGGGGCTGAAAAAGAGACGTATTATAGCCTAGGTGCTCCTACAACAAAGTAAATAAAAGCTGCCTCCAGAATCATCTACTGGCAGTAAAGTAGAGTCTGCTGCCACACTGCACAATTAATGCAGTTTGACACCGCTTTGACTACCATGGTTGCATCCTATAGGATCCTGGGATCTGTACTTTTGTGAGTGATTTAGGAGAGCCAGCATGGTGTAGTGGTTTACGCATTGGACTGCGACTCTGGAGGCCAGGGTTCGAATCCCAGCTCGGTGATGAAACCCGCTGGGTGACCTTGGGCAAGTCACACTCTCTCAGCTTCAGAGGATGGCAATGGCAAACCCCCGCTGAAGAAGCTAGCCAAGAAAACCCCGTGATAGGGTCTCCTTAGGGTTGCCATAGGTTGGAAACAACTTGAAGGCACACAACAACAATAACAACAAGCGATGTAGCCTTCTCTGCCAGAGAGTTCTGGTGCCACAACAAACTACAAACCCCAGGACTTTGTAGGATAGTGCCAAAGCAGTTAAAGCAATGTCAAACTGCATTAATTTGGCAGTATGGAAGCAGACAGAGAGAAAAGGGGAGCGCAGATAAGCCTGCCTAACCAGTTAAGAAATATCGAAATAATAAGAAATAGGGAGGCTGGCCAAAAAGAAGTCATTTCTGGATGCATTTTGGAAGAATGACCTCAAATGATCTCAAGGTTTGAAATATTTTTATTTTTGTTTATTTAAGCAAAAGTTTACAGCAAGTAAGGCATACATCACCTGGTTGCTGCATATTGTACATATTGTCAGCTTTGAATAAAGTGTTTGGTGAAACACACTGAATTACTCTTCTTTTTGTGGTGTAGGAACCAGTCCCTATACTTTCTATTGCCACCTCTGTTACTAAATTTTCTGTCAAGGGAATAAAGTTCAGGTACGCCTCTGTATCATTAAATGAGGAATACCTATTAAATATTAAAATGTATGTTTGCTTTGAGGCCAGTTACTTGAGCTTGAAGACTGACATCTGGACCAACATTTTGTTAAACAAACTACTATCTTTATTCTACTGTGGTCTCCAATCTTAAACCCTAAAAGGACAGTTTTCCCCTACAGCCTCCTTTTTGAGAGAAAGGTAGACTGTGAGTCCAACGAATTAATAATAAAAAAGGTAAAACCTACAAAACCTCTACTCCCAACCTTTGCTCTTCCATTTATTTTGGACTTTAGCTCCCAGAAGCCCCAGCCAACTTGGACCAACAGTCAGGAACTATGGGTGCTAAAACATCTGGAGGACCTAAAGTTTGAAACCACTGCTCTAGCCTACTTTTTAAAAAAGCCTGTGACCATGTTGGACTACAACTCCCATCGTCCCCAACCAGCATGGCCAATGGGCTGAGTCTGAGGATGATAGGAGCCATGGTCCAGTGCTCCTGGAAGGTTCCAAACTGGCAAAGGCTGCTATGAAGCATTCGCTGTCTGCATCAAACTCTGTGAAACTTTTCCTATGATTTGCTCAAATCCTTGTTGATCCTTTCTGGGTGTTTGTGTCTGGCGGCTCTTAACATGGAAGGAAAAAAAGTAGAGAGGCCAGTAGGACTGAGACAAAATTACTCACCCGTGAAATCTTCTTTTTTTCACTTCATTTTTTGCCACTTCCAAAACTGAAGACCCGCTTTTTAGCTGTCCTCCCCCCAACTTTTGCATCATTTTGCAACAGAGGTCTTTGAGAATTTTTGCTTCTTTCATTCTTGCAAGAAGAATGTCCTGGGAGTCTGAGATGATGAGGGTTTGCTGCATTTCTTAATTATTATTTGTTTCTTTTGCAGTTGGGGTCATGACAAAAAACAAACCCTAATTCCATTTACTTAAACCTTCCATGTTTGTGCAGCGCTCCATCGATTTTAGCAAGTCCCCGTTGAGACCTGAAACTCACTGAGGTGACTTTGATTTCTAAGTCAAAATGAGTAATAGTCCCCCTGTATTCTGCACTGGTCAGGCTTCATCTGAAGTCCTGTGTTCAGTTTTGGGCACCTCATTTTAAGAAGGATATGGACCGGTTGGAGCAGGTCCAGAAAAAGGCAGCAAGGATGATAAAAAATATGGAGAACAAAACATATGAGAAGTTGAAGGAGCTGAGCATGTTCAGCCTAGTGCAAAGAAGACTTGAGGGGTGACATGATCACTCTCTCTAAATACCTCAAGGGCTGTCATGGAGAAGAGGGGCAGGACTATCCTCTACTACCCCTGAAGGTAGAACCAAGTCTGTCTGAAGTTACAGGAGAGTAGATTTTGATTTAACATTAGAAGGAGGTTTTTACAGATAAGTAAATCTAGGTAGCTGCTTCATATTCATGATCATTTGTTGTTAGCTGCCTTCGAGTTGGTTCCAACTCCTGGTGACCCTGTGGATGAGACATCTCCAAGAATCCCTATCTTCTGCTGCAGTCTTGTCCAGATCCTGCAAGCCCTTCTCCATAACAGCTCCCTGATTGAGTCCATCCATCTGGTTTCTTCCTCTCTTTCTTCTACCCTCTACCTTTCCTAGCATTATTGTTTTTCCTAGTGATCCATGCCTTCCCATGATGTGGCCAAAGTACGATAGTCTCAACTTGATCCTCTTTGTTTGCAAGGCGAGCCCTGGTCCGATATGTGCAAGAACTCATTTGTTTGTCTTCTTGGCTGTCCATGGGATCCTAAGTATTCTTCTCCAGCACCGCATTTTGAATTAGTTGGTTTTCTTTCTGTCTGCTTCCTTCACTGTCCAGCTCTCACATCCGTACATGGGGATGATGGGGAATACTATGGCCTGAACGATTCTGACTTTATTGCTCAGTTGTATGTCTTTGCTCTTCAGGATCTTTTCCAGTTCTTTTATAGCTGTTCTTCCCATTCTTAGTCATCTTCTTATTTCTTGATTGCAATCTCCATTCTGGTCAATGCTTGATCTTAGATATGGGAATTCTTTAACTATTTCAATTTCCTCATTGCCTAGATTGAATTTGTGTATTTCTTCTGTGGTCATTATTGTTTGTTTTCTTTATGTTCACCGTCAGACCTGCCTTTGCACTTTTATTTTTGACCTTTCTTATTAACAGTTCCAATTCCTGAACGTCTTCTGCTAATATTATGGTGTCGTCCTCATAACTTAGGTTGTTAATTTGCTTCCTCCTATCTCAACTCCTTTTTCTGATTCTAATTCTGCTTTTCTTATGTTTTCAGTATATAAATTAAACAAGTATGATCATTACTTAGTCACAAGTGTGAAACTCTTGCTACTATTGCCAAGTGGCTTATAGAAAATACTGGCCATTGTTTATTTGTTTTACAGAATGTCAGTATTCAGCAGAAGCGCGGCACAGTGCAACCACTGCGTAACCTCTGTGTAACTTCCAGAGTATAGATTTACACTGCAGAAGCATGATGTTGACTCTCAGCCATTGTGTTTTGAATCAATGGGATTGACCCATGTGTCAGCTCACCATGCAACAATCAATTCCATGGATCTTCTGTAGCTGGGACAAAACCACAAGAATTTGGCCTGCATCATTTAAGTATACCAGCTCTCAAATCCCTGTTCCTGTATGGTTTTTTTCCCTCACAATTTTGGCTGGTGTTTACTATGGGACTCATATCTATATAAGTGGACTTATACATCTGTGAGAACTAGAACTGAGAAATTTTGCAATGTCTGCATTCAGCAAGGGACTGCTGTGAACTTACTATATAGCCAGCAAAGTGACTAATGGGTGCAAATATGCATTGTGACACTCTTGCTGGAGCCCTGATACAAACCTTTGCAAATCACAAGGAGGGTTCAATAGCACCTCTTGTTCATAGCTAAATATGCATAAACAGTGTATCACTAGGATTGGCATCACCCGGTGTGGTATCTTATAGTATCGCCTTCCCCATTGACCTCCGACCATGCCATACCATACACCACAGTGAAAATTTGGGTTGCTATGTTCTTGTACTCAGAAACTGTAATTCACTGAATGTAATGGCAATAGGCATGACATTAACAACCAGCAGAATTAAAATTAGACCTTTAAATGACAACATTTAAAATTAGACCTTTAAATGACAGTATCATATGCACAGCCTACATGTACATAGTTTCAGGTGGCAAAATTTGGTAAGATGTAATCTTTTTTTAAAAAAAGAAAATGTTAAAAGCTTTCTCCTCCCACTGAGCTTTGCCCTGCTCACACCATCTCTTTTGCTGAGCTCCAGCATTTTAAAGAGAAGCATAATAATAATAATTATTATTATTATTATTATTATTATTATTATTATTATTATTATTTATATCCCGCCCCTCTGAAACCAATCGGGGCGGCTTACAGTGTTAAAATACAATATATCCAAACCCTATTCCCTCCCTTCCCTTAAAACAATATTAAATCAGATAAGAGTTAAAACAAACAAATTAAAACAACAACATAAAATATATGCAGATACGGCCATGAGTATCTGTGACAGTAATATAGGAGTACAGTGGTATTATCTTTAAGCTAGGAGGACTCTCCTAAGAGGTTCCTGAAGCCATGATGGTCTATTCTGGAAAGGCCTGCTGGAAGAGATCCGTCTTGACAGTCTTTTAAAAGCTGTCTAAAGATGTCAGTTGACGGATCTCATCCGGCAGGCTATTCCACAGTCTGGGGGCGACAACCAAAAAAGCCCTCTGGGAGGTAGTCGAAAGCCTAGATTTTTGTGGCTGCAGCAGGGTTAGGATTAGGGTTAGGGTTAGGGTTAGGGTCCATGGGGAGGATTATACCACCACTGTTTATGCCAAAAAGCACTTGTTTGGGTAGCAGTGGTGTCATCCCTCCTTAGGGTGTCACCTCGTGTGGTCCATACACCCCGCACCCCCCAGTGATGCCCCTGTGCATAAAGTTACACAATGCAGACTGCAATATATTTTTTAAAAAGCACCCTGATGTATCTGTGTGATCACTTTCTTTCTTGCCAGAATATTTGGAGAGAGTGAAAGCCCGTGGATAACATGGTTCTGACCCATACGTTAGCCCAAGAAGCCTGGATGAATTCACTTCTTATTAGAACTCAAAGATCAAATTCCTCAGGCCTTCTCTAGAAATGACTACAAAGGGAGAGGAAAAATCCTATCATTTAGGAGGCTTTAAAGAATGCACGGTGGGACTGCCCAGCTTGAGAGTGTTTCTTTCGACTGATCCGGATGGCTTCCTGTCACAAGGCCTCTGTGTGTTCGTCGCCCCAGATGTCGCTCTTTGCAGAATAGCTGAGCGACATACCAATTAAGC